CGGTGGGGAGGTGACCCCTGCTGCCACCGCCCGTTGGGTCCATGTTTTCAGTTTGGGGATAGGCAACACATGCGTATGTCTAAATTTCAAATTTGGCTTCTGTTGCCGCTTAACTCGTGGCATTCTGTGGCGTCATGTCGCGTCTTGTCCAATTTAGGTTCGTATTTATAGGGAAACATATATCTAAGTAGTTGCTAGTTGTGAGCACTTACCATTCCTTTTGTTTGTGTATTGTGTCGAAGATCTCGTCCTCAAAGTCCTGCAGCACATAGAAAGTGCGCCAATCCATATCATTGATAACATCCAGGCCGGTCTCCGACTGGATGACAGGCATGCCAAAGCTCTCGGCTGCCTGCAGCGTGTCCGCATCTTTGCCAGCCTCGCCCACCAGGCAGATGCGTGTGGGCAGCTTTGACATAATGGACATTTCTGCAGATGAGTAGAATGCGTATGACACAAGGCATTAGTATGTTACTCTCGTCTACTCTATATATAGCACAAAGATTATAATGCTTAAAGTGTGCAGGGCACAGTCAGATGACACAGCTCGTGGACGTTGTTTAGTAATTGAGTCTGTTTAAATATACAAAAATTCTCTGTAGGGTTTAAATAATATTATCTTCCGTTTATAGATCTGCTAAAGAAACCAATCATTTTTCTTCTTTCTTTCAATTGACTTTGGTACACTCTGTAAATGGGTTTTACATTTATGCAATCAAATTCATGTAATGAATGAATGAGGTTATATATTAACTTTGTAATAGTTTATAGGTATTTAGTAACTCCGACTAAATGCTTCACACGGCAGATGAGAGCCGCATTTGATATATATAGTATAAACATGTGATTTGTATAATTGATGGGCACTTCAACAGCATCGCCTTCAACCCTCGCACACGCCCTCTTAAGTACTTTTGGCGCAAACAGCTCACTAAATTTTAAGTACACTTTGTTCAAGAGCAGGAGGAGGAGCAGAGAGAGAGAGAGAGAGAGAGAGGTGAGGTGAGGTGAGGTGAGCGTATTCAAAGTTTGGCGCTATGATTTATGGCCATCAGTTTTTGTTTGTTTATGCAAATGGCGAGCTGTGCGGCGCGGCGCACAACAAAAACCAGGAGGGCGAAAACAAAAGCAAATAAATTGCAAGACGAAATAGAAGCAAGTGGAGGATCTCTGCGAGCAACTGTGGCATCCACATCAGCAGCAAATGAAGGGCAGACGACGATGTCGATGTCGATCATTTGGCCGCAATTTTGTGAGCTGTTGACATCAATTTTAATTGTGATCGCCAAGTGCTGATTGCTGTCTATTATTATTATTATTATTACTATTACTATTATTATTATTATTATTTTTGTTATTGTTTGATTTCGTGTTCGTGGCACCCAACCAGCCCCCCCCGCTGTGACCTTCACATCATTGCCGACATGCCGAAAAATGCAAAAACAAGAAAGAAAATGCAGCCGCCGCCAACCATATACACACAACCACCCGCCCGCCCACACGCGCTCTACAAAATTGTTCAAGTGCATGCAATTTCCCCTCCCCACACACACACACACACACATAGCCAGCTACTGTGTGCATTAATTTTATCCAGAATTGTGCAGCTGTAACTGATGCCAATTGCGCTTTTGTATCTCTGGCCGCTCGAGACGACGCAGAGGCAGACATCGGCACTTGTGCAATTGAGAAAAGTCCAGACACGCTGCGTTCCATACAGATGCTCCACCCACCCACCCGTCCCCCCTTTCGGCACGTGGGGGATGAGCAGGAGTTGCATGTGTTGTGTGTTGTCGCCACATGACGCATGGAATTTTTAGAATAACTCAGTTTAACAATGGAAATTTATGGGCATTGCACGTCAAATATTTTGTTGTGCTTATAAAGTTTACACCTTTGGCTCTGGTATGCATTGCATGACATGCACTAATGGCCTTTTTTTTATTGTTATTGCTGTTGCTGTTGCTGCTGTTAGCCAAGTCAGTGAAACAAAAAATAATCGAAGTAATAATATCAGGTGAAACACTTGTCCCAACAACAACTGGACACTATTTATGTGCATAGCACAGGTCTCAAGTTATTGTTAAAAGCCAAGCTAAGAATTCAATAATACGATATGCTGTGGCAACATCTAATGCACAAATGCACAAAGAAATTTGTTTCAATTACATTTTCAGGAAATGGGAAAACATATTTTGTATAATATGTGTGCATTAAAATGAACTCTAATCTAGTATTGAGACTGAGACTATAAGCTTAATTAATTGTAGAAAAACATTAAACTTTTTTAAGTTTCTTGAACAACATTCTTTAAATTAACTGATTGACAAAAGACAAGTTCAAGATGTAAATTTGATATTCTTGTCCCAACAAATAGTTACCTTAACTTCAAGCTTTATATATATCCGATACTGAAATCGGGCGAGTGCCTTCCCAGAGAAATGCATATTAAATTATTATATAATCGAAACGTTTAAACTAAAAGCTTTTAAATGTTATTGTTGGCGGCCTTTTTAATGCGATATGCTTTTTCATAATCATTTCGAGCCAATAATGTATCTTATAAAATTGTGCTTTTAATTGCATTTGTTTTTAATTTATATTCCACATGGTATACATATCATATATATATATATATATATACCGCTCCACCTTCAGCTGAAATAGAGCATTTTCTGCTTGAATTAAGCATATCTATTTGGTCTGTTTGAGTTTGGAAGCGCTAAATTCCTTAAAATGCGAATTTCATTCAGAATTTAATTTATTGTTATTCACACTGCGTAGCAGAATTCGAGACTGGAGAACCAAACACGTTATTCAAAGATGGTTTTTGCTTGTAAATTTCCTGGCATTTGGCAACTAATCTCAAAATCTAGCCTTTTCATACCTGTGCAAAAACCTACGAAATGAAATACCTGTAAAGTCCTCATACACTTGACATAGTGCAGCCTGTTGAACTGCCTCCTGAGCTGCGTATGCGAAGTAGGACCAGGCCTGACGACGAACCGTGACCAAATTGTTCTTGATGTTGCAGCCCTTGCCGCAGGTGAGCTGCGAAGTCGCTGCGAGTGGCAAGTGCAACATGACGAGGAAGCGACGTTTAAGGATCAAACTCTGAATAGCAACTAAACACGAGAACGCAGCCAGCCGGGCGGAAGCCACAGGTGTGCGCCCCCGTCGAACGGACACAAATGCAAATGCAAATACAAATGCAAGTTAAGGGCAGAGTGCGAAACGACCCTCACAGGTGGTGCTTGGGCCTGGCCGAGGGAGATGACGGACGGCAAGAGTTTGCACTTTGGGAATTTCCTTCTGCCATTGCCTGCGCTGGTCTCTCCTCCTCTTCTTTGTCTTCTTGTGCCTCGTTTTCGTTGGTGCGTTGCCAAAAACATGATGAAAAACTAATTGAGTGGCATTTGTATAATGAAAATACTGGGGCTATACACACGCACAGGTTTGGCATTTTGCTAGAGATTTTGTCATATAGACTCATCAAAACGGAATCTTGTAATAAAATTACGTTGTCAGCTGGCAGAGCCTTGACGTAGTCCGCTGCGGCGACGCAGACGCTGAGACCTTCACATGCATGCACACATGCTCACATTTGCGCGTGTGTGTGTGTACAAAATGCCATTAACATTGAGCCGACAGCCGAAAACATTGGCATGTGCGGGCTCTGTTAAGCATATACCGGGAAAGAGGGAAGAAGGACAGAAGTAAAAGCAGCCTGCAAATGTGTGTAGTAGGTAAATCACTAGGCTCTAGTAACAATAACAAAAAAAGCAGCAGCAGCAGTGATCGCAAGAGTGACAGAAAGAGAGAGCGCGAGAGCAAGAGAGGGTGAGAGTACGCAATTTGTTTCCTGCTCTAACCTAAAGAACTCGGCACGGGCAGGCAGGAACTTTGCCGCAGCGGCGTCTGCGCTTTTGGTCGTTATTGTTGTTGTTAGCTTGGTACAGTGCCGGGTTGTTGAGTGCGCTGCGGGGCGAGGGGCGCAATATATTTAGCGCACATTTCTTTTTGATGCGCGAGCCACTGCCATTCACAATACATAAATATGTTTCACACCGAAATAAATTTCAAAAGTAGCTTAAAATTTCCTGACGCGTTTTAACTTTAACAACAAGAAAGTACTAGCAGATATTTATTTGCTGGCAGTGACATTTTTTATGTGTGCTTAACGCCTGCGACATTGAAAAATTCAGAAAAAGAGAAAATAGATCTATGTATATTTATACAAAAGTAAAATAAAAGACAAACAGCGGATGCGAGGCAAAACAGCTGCTGTTTCCCCACCCTTCGCCTTTTCGACTCACCTGTTTTTGATTGCTCCTCGATGGTCTCCATTTCGTTTGAATTGCATTAAATTTTGGACAGACAGACACAGACACACACACACACACACACACAGATACTAATGCACGCACAAAACAGATTTCTGCAGCTTTCGTGTTTAGTTTTCTTTGTTTTTTCAATGACGGTTTGTTTGCTATGTTTTACTCATTGCTTGAATAATGCCCAATGCCATAGCATCTTTGTTTTTGCACAATTAAATTGAACAACGCTTTGGTCAATTAAAAAGCGGCGCGCAAAAGAACACAGACAAGCGCCCACAGTCACAATTTACACACACACACTAATGTACGTTAACAAGCGCTCGCACGAATTTCATTGAATGCAGCAGGCGGCAGGCGGCGTCACTTTTATTTAACACTTTTTGCAATCCTGTTTATGATTTGATTTGAATACACGCGTTTAATTGCACGAATGTGTCTTGTAATTGGTTTACAAATAATTACACAGCGCCTTGTACGTGTTTAGTTTGCTTTCTTTGCAGCGCGTCGGAATTAAAAATCAAAATCAACGGTCAAACACGTCCGGTCGCACGGCTGTTCGTCTCGCTTTATTTTACATAAATGTTAATGCTGCGTTTTCTTCTACTCGATAAGGCACTGTTACGGCACTAAAATAACAGAATATGTTAATGTAATTCATATTCTACTCAAACGGGCACTGTAAATGCAGGAATGTTCATGAAAACCGATAACGATAGGCGAACTTTATTGACAACACTTTTCATTCGATTACTGCATCAGTGCTGCCACACGCAAAAAAAACAACACAAATAACAGCGAACAACACTTGTTGCTGTGACGTCACACACACAAGCGCAGTTACGTCAATGTAGCAATATGCCCAGCAATCTGTCAAACAACCCACCACCAGCGCAGCTACAACAACAACAGCTCACTGACATTTCGTCAATAGGTCCATACATAATTTTGTCATTTTTTCACTTGCTCGCTAAGAAAACGAGAACTTTCGATTTTTACCGCCCAATTAGAGGGCATTTTTGAAAGTGGTTTCGAAAAATGCTCCACCAACCGCCGCCGCCGACGCACAGCATCAAAATAATGTCGGGGGCCGAGGAAAATCGCCACTACTTGCGTGCCTTTATACAAACATATCGCGATATGCCCGTCCTCTGGGACACTTCTCTGCGGGACTACACGAATCGAGAGAAACGCGCCGAGGCCTATCAGCGCCTGGTGCCCATCTATCATTATCTGAAGCGGGACGCCACCGTCGAGGACGTCAAGAAGAAGATCAACACACTGCGCACCAACTACCGCAAGGAGCTGAAGGTTGTGGAGAGCGCTATGCGCACGGGCAGCCTCCATACGCCACGTTGCTGGACATTTCAGGAGCTCGACTTTTTACGCAATACGGAAAAGTTTCTGGCCGTCAATCCGACTTTCAAGAACGAGCCGTCTTTCTCGTTTAACGAGAACTCCAGCTCAACGGCGGCCTTCATGGAACAGCATGCGAACAGCAGCAGCGCGTCCGTGTTACATTATCCATATCGAGGTGGGGCTGGACAGACGCCGAACATCACGGAAATGTTTCACAAATCGTTTGGGCATGTGCAAAAGGTGGATCCACTGCCACCACCACCGCCGCCGCCGCCATCCTCGGGCCTAATGCACCAGCCGCCCCACTCGCAGGGCGACTATACGCCCTCCAAGAGGGCGCGGCAGACGCCGCCCTGCAGCAGCAGCTCGAACAACGCCTCGACCACGACGACAACAGTGAGCACACATAATACGGACGAGCTGCTGAACATTGCCTGCGAATATCTGGCTGGCACCTATCCGGAGGAGGAGTCAATTGCGCGCACCTGGACGCATAAGCTGAAACGTTTGCCGCGCGAGCAGCGTCTGCTCGCCGAGCGCTTCATCAACGAGATACTCTTTGAGGCGGAATCCAACAACTTGCATCGCGGCTCCGTGCAGATCAACAACAGCTTTGAGCCGTATGTGCGCTTTGAGGAGCCGGCGGTCTGTCACGAGGAGCAGGACAAGTCGCAGAGCCCCAGCGTGCACACCTCCTCCGAGTCGACACCAAAGCCCAGCGCCGGCGCCACCACTCCGCTCAACGAGCCGACGAATCCGGGCATTAGAGAGTTCTAAGATTAGGAATATGTTAGCATTAGGTGTTATTCAGTTATTTATTGGCAGAAGACGCAGACAACACATGGCACTGACAAAAAGCTAGACAAATAATCTTTGTAAATAGTTACATGAACCTGATTTGGTTTTCTGGGATGCGGCACGGCTCAATCCACGCGCTGATAATCCACAATATTGCGTGTTAGCCATACATAGGGCGAGGCGCCGGCCAGAAATAGACAGGCGCCGATCACAGGACGATGCAGGATCCAGGCCACGGCCGCAATGGTCAGCGCCAGCGAGAAGGCGATGAGGAAATTGCCCGTCACCGGATAATGCGAATCCGGCGCCAAAGCAATCAACAGCGGCACACGGAGCACTGCAAGCACGGAATAACATTATTATACATAGTTGCCTAGATGTAGTCTAGTAGTATATAGCTTGTATGTTCTGGACTGTATGTATATAAATGTTCGATAAGGGATTTGCTCCGCTTTTGGCACATGTATTCCCGGCCAGGTACTTACATATGACACGCAGCAGCTTTGTATTGCAGTTGACGCCAAAGAAGATCAGCAGCCAGCCGATGAAGCGCCACCACCAAGTGTGAAGCACCTGGGCGCGATACTCCAGGCGGAACACTTCCAGGGCGCTGATCTCGCCCGGATAGACGAGCAGCACGGGCACGCCGCGTGTTGTGACATATGGCTCCAGCTTGTTGCCCTGGAGCCTGCCCACCACGCTGTACATTTCACCCTCCATGCCTGCGTAGCTGAAGAGTATGCGCAGATCGCCAACTTCGGGATTGAACACATCTTCGGTGTGATAGTAAAGGCCCAGATGCAGCTTGATGCCGCTGTCGTCGGGCCTGATGTCCGAGGTTAACTCATGGTAGTTGTTGAACTTGTTCTTCACCTGAGCGCCCAGCTCGTATTTGCCAATGTAGACGGCATCGGCCACCTGGACGGCGCTCTCGATGGGAAAACGCTGCGGATTCGTGTGTCCATGACGATTGTAAAAGTTGCGCGAGTCCACGATTTTGTCGCGCCACTCGCGCGTATAGTAATAGGTACGTGAATCAGCCTCGGTGCCGACGCTCTCGCCAAAGTTATGCTCGACCGACTCTTCCACCCATTGGTACATTTGGACGCGCCGCCTGAGCTTGACCGCCATCAGCTGTATGTTGTAGTCCGGTTCGGTGAGCGGCTCGCCACAGATGATGGGCCCCGATAGATGCACAATGCGATTATCAAAGCTCAGATCCTGCTCCTCCTCGGTGAACTGCATGGAGTAGATGTCGGCGTATGCTTCGTCCAGGGCCAGCATTGTGTGCACCGCGCGTCCCTCATTCCAGTAGAGTACACTGGAGCCGGCTATGAACAGACCCAGGCCGAAGGTCGCGATCAGCCAGTGGGCACGAAATGTTTCGCTTAATGTGGCCATGTGCAATGTTTACCGTTCGGTCAGCATTTAAAAATATTAATAAACAGCAACAAATGCTGTGCCGCCGGCAATTCCTCTCAATACAAACTGTGCAAGTCAGAGGCCGCCAATTAGCCAAAGCAACGCCGTCAAAGCAACAGCTGTCAGTGTCAGCTGTTCGAAATTCGAAATTCAAGCATTCGAACATCCAAACAAATATTACAAATTGAACTAAGAATGTGTAGCAATAGTTTAACTGATTATCAATTCACAAAAGCATTTAAACATGGAAAATTCTGTTCGGTCTACAAGGCAAATTGTACTGTCAACGATCGTGTTGTAGTTATCAAGAAGTTTTCGCTGGAACAGGAAGATGATGCCGAATTGAAGCGACTCTTCGCCGAGATCCAATGTTGTCGCCAATTCAAACATCCAAATATCAATGAGATACTCCATAGTTTTATTGTGGACAGCGATGTATATGTCCTGTATCCGTATATGTGCTTTGGAACGTGCCAAATTTTACTCGAAAGCATTTTTACGAATGGACTGCCAGAGCCTCTGATAGCATTGATTTTTAAGGATGTCCTCTCCGCCCTTATGTACATACACACGAATGATTTTGTCCACGGATCCGTCAGAGCCCATCATATATTACTGGACAGCCAGAAAGCAGTATTATCGAATTTCCATGAGAGCCGCAGTTTCATAAAACATGGCAAAAAGAAACCGGTTCTACATGGCATCTCCCATGAGAAGAATTTAAACTGGGCTGCCCCGGAAGTCCTAGATCAGAATGTCCATGGGTTTACCGAGAAGTGCGATATCTACTCCGTGGGCATAACGGCCTGTGAAATGGCCAACGGCATTCAACCGTATTCGGAAACCCAGCCCACACTCATGTACACGGAGAAAATACGCGGAAATGTGCCATCCCTGCTAGATAGATCGACGTACACCATGCTCCTGGATGACCAGGGTAAAATGCCATTTGAGAATGCAACAACAAGAAGAACCTATGAGATTTTCAGTCAACGTGTGCTCACCGACGATTTTCATCAGTTCGTGGAAATTTGCCTGAATCGAAATGCGGAGAATCGTTGGAGCGCCAAGAAGCTAATGACGCACGCATTCTTCAAGCAATGCCGGCACGTCTCCATCTCGGATCACATCAAGAAATGCCGCAGCGAATCGCAAAACAATTCCTTAATAGACGACGAAAGCATCGGGCCACTGGACGATCATGCACAGGAATGCCGCGAAGATGTTCAATGGAATTTTTAAGAAACTTAATTCTGGCTTATAACTTAAATAAAACAAAACCAAGATTTTAGACAAAAGACAAGTTTGAAAAACTTGTTGTTTTTAACTTTAGTTGTTTTTTTACACGCCATTCTAATTTTGATTGTTGACCAATTGGTTAAATTGTATATAATTATAGACTTTTAGAAGAATCGCTCGTAAAAAAATTGTAAATTGTCAGCTATGCGATTCAATTGAAATCCATAATTTATTTCACATAATTTACTATAATATAAATGTGGCTTTATTTACAGTACATATTCTTGTGTTTGTTATAATTATCCATTAATAAGTTGCTCGATTCAAGCCAAAGCTAATGCGTAAGTTCGCCTTGTTATTCGCCATATTTTGCGTTTAAATCTTGTAAAATTGTATTTCCCGTAAATATCTATTTGGAATGTGCTTGAATTGAACATAAAAATTATATATCACTTGTCGCCTCTAGAAACAAATCGATGTGAGGTGGAAAACAAGTTATAAATGTTGGTCTTGCTGTTGTTTTTTTTTTTTTTATTACGTATTATTAAACAAAATTAATAACAATTAGGCGTAATCTGTTCAACTAAAATTAAAATTATTTAACAAATAACTAATTAGAAATTGCTTGGTTTTGTGTGGTGTTTCGATTTTAAACTTAAAATAAAATTAAAATTCAACTAAATATTTGGACAAAAATCACGCACAAATTGCTTTAAAGTTTAAACGGTGCGCTCTTTAGTACGCTTAAGGTTTTCTCTTCTTTTTAAATACATCAATATAAAACATAACTGTCTATAGAGCGCGTAAAATGTACAAATTTAAATTTAAAATATATAAATATATCATAGTATGATTTAGCGGGCTATCACTGATAAATAACATTAGTATTTTTTTCTTTTAATTTCTATATATATGTTTATATATATTTTATGTGAAGCATATTAGTTTTGTATTGTTTAACGAAAATGTGTTAGTACCCGGTTTTATACCTTGCTTTAACTTTCTTTCTTTTCTTGGCAATGCTAGGGCGCATCGTACTGTAAATAAGTTTGGGAATTTAAAAACTAAATTAAGGTAGTTGTTTTTTTTCTAGCCTGCAAAACTTGTAACTGCTTAGGTCGGATTTCCATATGTATGTATATGCGTATATACCATATACATATGCATAACTTTGTTTTTATAAATATATATAGATTACTTAAAAATTAAAATAGTTTTAACGTTGACTAACATGCCACACAATCAAATAACTCTTATCGCCTCGATTTTCAATCGTTTGATTTGGTTCCAGTTGAATACTGTTCTCCATATCATTGTCATCTGTAAAAGTTGAAGGAAATTTAATTAGTATATCAAGTTAGGCAAAAGTTGGATTATAATGTACACATAGTTAGTGCTGCAGCGACAAAACTACAAAGGATCGCAAATTGCTGTCTTGATAATTATATTATACAAAAGCATTTAAGAGTATTATTATATTATGTTTGCAGCGCATCAAAGTTTTTGCTGCTCAACTTGATTGACTTTTAATATCGTCTGCGTGGTTAAGAGTTGAATAGAATTTAGTTTAGATTAGTAATAGATTTTCTTTTTAATTAGTGAGAGTGCGCGTTTTGTTTGGTAGTTTGTAGAATAGCCATCAGTTTATACAGTTTAAAAATATATTAAGCAAAACTAAATAAAATACAATTAGCTACATATTAAAAAAATTAACTGTTAAGGCAGCTACAACCAAAAAAACTAAAAATTAAAAAACCGAATTTGAAAAGAAAGTTAAATTATATGTTTAAACTTATATATAAAACAACGTAGATATTATTTGTACAATTGCTTCCTTCATAAAATACTCGAGAAAGACAAATCACAAGAACACCAATGAGATCAGTTTTGAACAAGTTACAATTTCCACTTGTGACCTGGGTGGAGTTTTTTTTGGAACTGTGTGACAAAGTGCAGAAACATGTGGACGGGGAAAACGTGATAATCAACAGAAAGAAATATAAAAAAAAATACATTTAACATAAATTTGCATAAACCTTAGGGTCTTTCGATCAGGTCACACACACGCATGGGCTCAGATAAATGCTGCATTCCAAATTTGAGCTTGGGCCTACGGGCGGGCGGCGCGACTACAAATTGAAGGTACTGAACGGCCGGCAAAGTTAAACGAAAAGAAAATGCGATTAAATCAACGAAAAAGAATACACAACAATACAACAAAAAAAAACTAAGCAAAAATAACTCAAAAACATAAAAAACAGCGCAAATCAAAATATATAAACAAATGTAAACCGAAGATCAAAATCAAAAGCAAGGCTTACGTATCGACTTTCCAAACTATCAAATGCGCTGCATTATCACTAGCATCGTATTTTTCATGTCCTGCAGAGGAATATGGAACGATTATACTATATATTGCATATATAT